AAGGAAACTAGAGGTGGGGAGTTTTGGGGTTATTTCGGGGCTCCTACAAGGCCTCTAGAAGGTATATTATATAGACCTTCTACAAGGCTCCTAGAACGGCAACTACCCACCTGAAAGTGTCCTAGATTCGTGGGAGCCTTGAGGCGAAGCCTTCAGGCAAAACCAAGCTCTGCAGGCAAGGCTAGGGAAGATGGCTGTGCGCGCCTTCGGCGGTGGGCCGAAGTCTGGGGGGTACTGTGGCCGGCCGGCAGAGATGTCCTGTAGAGAAATCAGAATAAGAGTTCTGCATGAGCCTAACAATAAGTTAAAGTCTTAGTCAGGGCCACTGAGTCATTAAATGACCGCGTCTGCCGCACAGCCCACGGTGTAAGAAGACATGCTGAGAGCCACAAGTCCCTCAAGCACCGGTGGCAACGCAAACGTCGAAAGCTATCCAAGCGCTCCTCTTGCATGTTCTGGTAGATCCATGTCGACAATGAGCTGGATCCGTGACCATAGCCCCCAGCCAACGGGCCATAGTCCATCCTTGTCGAGCAGGCATTGTTGAGCAGCTACGACGACGTGACTATGTGTCCCGGCTCCAGGAGCTCTACACCAATAGACAAGGCCACCACGGTGCGCTACGGGTCTCTGAATTCACAAGACCTGCAACCAGCCGAGGCCCCTGCGTCATGATTTCAGGCGGGGACTCGGCACAGGGAAGCGAAACTCGGGGTCTCCACAAGGCGTAGTTGGCTAAGTTCAACTGAACGTCCGGAGCTGAATGAGAGTTCCAAGACCTCCGTGGGCGAGTTGTCAAGTATGGCTGTTGGGGTCCCTGGGCCCACCAGTTCCGGGCCCCTGCACCGCAAGGGATGTCAAACGTCAAGCTTTGTAGGCTCTTCGGATGTTTGGTCCAGTCAGCTCCGAGATGTGCTGGTCCTTCCAAATTGAAGCCTTCAGGTCCATCGCACAACCCTAAACCCTAACCCCAAAACCCGGTCTCCGAAGCTGAAGCCCCAAAGGGCCATCGCCCCCCGTCGCAGCGGACTGCTGGGAGCGCGGCTCCCCACGAAGGTGGAAACGCCGGCAGCGCGGCAGCTGTCGCCGCAAGCATCGAAAGCCTAGCTTTCCGCGAGCAAACATGACATTAATACGATGGTCATCTAAGCGAAAATTATTTAATGAAATGCAATATGATATAATTATCATCTTCTACAACACAACGTAATACAATATGAGGCACATCCACAGCTATGCTGCTTTTTTTCCTCTTGTTTGGAGGTTTTCTGTTCACACTTTTTCGACAGGCCTTTAAACGTTAGCCAAATCTCGTCAGTCTTTCTAGAGCTTCTGGCTGCAAGGAGCATCCTTGGAAAGCCAAGTGTCTGCCCACACAGGTCTGTTTCAAGAGGGTTTAGGGTTCAAAGAAAGCTGCCACGTTTCAAACCACCCTGGACTGGGGCCCCGACTTAAAAAGAAGTGCCATAGCTCTTTCTCGCTCGCTCTCTCTCTCTCTCTCTCCCGGGCAAGGGGAACGCTCTGTCTTTCTCTCTCTCTCCCTCTCTCTTTCGATCTGTCTTCTATGGTCCCGATCGAAACCCTTCGCTTTGAGCCGAGGTGGTCACACGAGAATGGCCAGAAGAGTCGCGAAGGCTCCTTGAACTGCGCCTCAAACCGAAAAAACTCGAAAGCGGAATCCAAACTCGTCAATTGTTTGCACACTCGGGGCTTTCCTGTTCTGGCCTCTCAAACTCATACGCCGTAGTTTAAGCTTCGCACGGAAGGCGGAAAGGCTTGACGGCAGCTGGCCCCCCCCCGATGAAGGGGAATCTCAACATAGTGGGTTTAGGGTTTAGGGTTTGGGGTTTGGGGTTTAGGGGTGGGGGAGCCGTTGGGCCATGCAGGACATGTACATGTAGGACATTCTGCATAGGGCGGGACCCCCTCGACGCCGGCCTTCCTGGCCTCTTTTTGGGCCGTCAGCGCCATGCTCCGCCTCACAGGATATCGAAGGAATCGTTGTGCTCGCTCACACGATGAACCTTCATACCTAATTAAACATGCACACATGGGTAGTTCGCTAAGATTAGGGTCCCTTTTGAGGTCCTTCTTATAAGGGTGCCGTACTATATTGGGGACCTAAAAAGGGACCCTGATTTAGAAAACTACCCACATGCAGTTCATGCAATAAAGACGAAACACAAGAAGGCAACTGGGAGCATCGGCTTGTTTACTTCAGTCTCGCTTCCGACTCGTAGAGAAAGCACAGGCCCACGACCGGGATTTAAATCAGATCCTTTCTCCGCTTTCAGCTTTAAACTTCAGTGATGCTAGTTTTGCGACCCGAGGCTTCTACAGCTCTTAAAGCTGACCGTCATCTCGGAGCCCTCTGACCCTGACTGTTGAGCGCCCTGGGCCGCCCTGCTTGGCGGGCTCCGGGCGCGGAGCAAGCTGCAGGCCACAGCGCTGGGAACCGCCAGGCAACTGATTCCCAAGATGGCACCATGGACACCCTGGCAGATGCCTCGAGCGACGGGTCTTGAGGCCACAGAGGCAGTCGACCCCACCGCCGCCAAGCAGGTCAGAAAGGCGAACACACGCAGGCCGGAAGTGGACCAGATCAGTGCACAGCCCGCCGCGTCCTCCTTCCATGTGGCGATGATCCAGCGAGCCTCGTTAGCCAACATCATCAGCGGCACCAAGGGCAGCACCAGGGAAACAGCCTCAATGCATGGTACACTGGCACAGTGGCCAACAAACGAACCAATAATTACCAGCAGCACAAGTGCGTCGTGGTGGGAAGCACTGAGCAGATCTGAGAAGACTTGCCGAGTTGCTGTGGCGAAGTCCTTCACGTAGCAGCTGGTCGGCGCAAAGGAAACCAGGAGTGCGAAGAGGCAGGCAGTCAGGTTGATGCCTGCGGCACCAACCAGGGCTGCAAAGCCCCGGAGCCACCGCAGCCTGGACTCGCGCCAGGGCGTGCGCCGCGCGGACCAGAAGGCGGCCAGATCAATTAGAGTGAGCATGCAGAGGAAGCAACTTGTGACAGACGTCAGGACGTAGATAGTCCAGTTCAACTCCGACTTGACGCACTTGCAGGAGGAGTGGCCTGCAGATTGAAACATGTGGCAGTAGCCACCGTGCCTGAGGCAGTCCTCCGGACAAAGAGGGTCAGGGCCGCAGCTGAGGACAGACTCAAAGTGCACTGGAGTGCTGGCCTTGGGAATTGCCAGCAGAATCACCTTGCCCGCCAGCATGGCGGATTTCCAGAGGATGGCCCAACGGAAGTGCCGGTCCAGCTGCCGCCACTGGTACCGTACCGAAGCCAAGGCAACCAGGCCTGTGCCCACTGAGAGCAGGCCAATGATGGCAACAAGCGCAAGGAGGCAGTGCCGCGGGCTGTTGGTCTCTTGCAGGTACTGGCAGGTGCAGGTCGCGGATGACACTGCAGCATTTATCAGCAAGATGATGTGGCGTCCGTTCCAGCTCCGCACGAAAGTCAGCACCCAGGCAGGAAAGCCCCCGCAACACATAAGAAGGCCCTGACAGCATCGGCGCCGATCGGAGCCTTGGCGTGTCTCGACATAGAGGAAGCTCCGAACAGGCAGCATTGACACCGGGAACAGCCTGCTGGCACGCACCTGTTCAAGGCACATCAAGGCCAAGACGGCAGCTTCACAGATCACGACCAAGAGGCAATACCAAATGGCCTCCCCGCGGTCATGCCCAAGTAACGTGGCCACTGGATGCAGTGAGTCCGCTTGCCCCACCCAGTCTAGCAGCACCATGAGGCTGGTCACCACTGCAAGCGCTGCCAGTAGCAGCAGTGGACCCGACATGGCAGGAATCTCTGGCACGCCTGCCAGGTGCTGCCGGCGACCGAAGCGCTCGACGGCAAATGCTGGCAGCGCGACAGCAGCCAGAAGGCTTGAGAGCCAAGTGGGCCCATAGCGACCATCCACAGGCCCTGCCGCAATGGGAAGAAGCGCAAAGGCAAAGGCAAAGCCCCAACACCACCAAAGGCCTCCCGATTTCAGCTTGCGCTCCAACGCCTTGCCACTGCAAAGGGCGGCGCCACAGATCAAGAAGGCCAGGCAGAGAATAAGGACCATGTGCCCACCGGGCCTGAAGCTGCACGAGGCAGAGCCCGACACCGACAGCAGCGTGTCAGGGCAGGGGAGACAGCGCCCGGCCCTGCCATAGGTCATGTCTGGGCACTCCTTTGTCCGGAACACCTTGCTCCCCACCACCAGAGTGTCAAGCAGCGGGCTGACCGGGTCTGACCAAGCGCTGAGCATGCCGTAGATCGAGGTCTCGAATCCGGGGTCAAACGAAGCGAAGGGCTTCAAGCTGCCCCCGGGCCGCAGGTCCTTCCCATAGAAGGCGTAGATTTGGCCGGCCCGATGCACCATCAGACCACCGCCCGCCAGGGCTAGCAGCCCGCAGCCGGGGCCAGCGCCGGCCTGTGGAATGGCTTCTTCGTCTTTAATCCATGCTGGATGGTTTTGCAGGCTTGTTGCCCTCAAAAACCCAAGGTCAACGTTGCAAGAATGTCGCGTTTGGGTGCCTCTACAAGGGCCTGCTTCAAAGTCTACGCGGCCACTGTGGCGGAGGAGCGAGGACCCAAATTGTCCAGTCTTTTCTGCTTTTGTAACCCTCCAGGCCTCCAGTTCAGCATAGGGAAGACCGCCGGCCGCAACTGCTGATGCGTTGAAGAGGGACATGATTTGGTAAGTATTGCTTTTAAACATATTGGCTGCCAACCCACCGTCACAGCAGCTAGCCGCAGCACTTTGAAAGCCATACCTCGGATCCAACGGGGGTCCACTGCCTGCTCCATCCTGCTTTTGCAGCTCGACGTAAGAGAAGCGGCATTCAACCATGGCAGCCACGGGAACCAGGAGAACGCACAAGCCCAGGCCCAAAACGAGGTCTCCGTCGGCAGTGCCTCCCATCAGATATACCTGACTAGTGTAGTTGTTCGGCACAGTCATGGAGCAGCTGGGATCCAGCACCTCGTCGTCTCCATAAGCGGATGCGTAGGTCAAGTTCCAGAGCAACACGGTCGTGCTTTTTGCCCCGCTATAGCTTGCGGCAAGGATGAGATCTGACACTCGAACAAGTCCCCAGAATCCGAAAGGGTTGAAGTCGCTTGCTATTGTGGTTTTGAACAACACTGTTGTTTCCCAGTCACCGTTCTCTGTGGCGTTGAGAAACTGGAGAACCCTCCAACCAGAATAGTCTCTAGTGTAAAAAGCAACGCCCCCAGCAAGGGGGATCAGTTCGCCAGTACCTTGTGAGAGTTCAGGCCAGGCGTGTTGCCATTCTCCAGCCGCCCGTGGTGTCAATGCTGATAAGTTGAAAAGTACTAACGATCTTCCTGCTACCGCGTCGGTTTGTATGATGCCAAGGCCTGTGCGACCCCAAGGAATCATCGCAGAATCAGGATCAGCAACTGCACTCGCCAGTGCTCCCACGGGACGATGCGGGGCCGTGAGGCTCAGGAGTGCCACGCCCTTGTTCGTGGCCAGTGCAAGGATGCCTTCCGGTAACACCAACAGCGACCCGAATGACTTGGGCCCCTCAGTCAAGTCTGGGACGGGCAGCTCCATGACGGAATCCAAATCAGTCGAGGCTGCCAGGAATATGTAGACCTTCTGCGACTTCGGAGGTAACAGCACGAGGGTGTCTGGTGGACCCGCAGCGAGGGTCCCACGACAATCTCCACCCTCACTGCTCAATCTGGCCTTGCTAGACGCAGGGCCACCCTGTAGTAGGGCAGTTGTTGAAAAAACGCTTACTTCCAATAAACAATCCGCAGCTGATGTGCTTGTATTTGCATGCAGCGTGGCCACCCCACCCTTCGGCAATACCTGAAGCGAATTCGTTGTACTGTTGATGCGCAAAGCCTTGCTTGAGACCTGCCCGGCTGTTTGCACAAGGAGCAGCACGAACTCTCCAGTGACGTTCACGATAAGGCCTCCGCAACACACTCCAACTATACTTAGCGGTTGCTCTGGTGTTGGACTAGACCACCACGCGAGCGGATGTCCACCCGAATGCACAGCTTCCACTCCCCAGAAAGAGATACGCTCCGCACATCTGAGTGCCAGACCACCATCGACAGTTTGCACAAGCTGGTGTGTCAGTGACACAGGCTGGAGTCCGGAGTTGTGGCACGACGAAACTCCTGTGAGCTTTCTGCCTGTGTGCGGACCGGCATTGGCATCAAAGACAACAAGCTGCCCGAGATTGTTCAGGATCGCGAGACCACCGCTCCCCAAAGAGCCGGCCACTTGAGCATCTAACTTCGCTGCTGGGATGTTGTAGGACAGCTTGGCCTCCAAGTTCTGCACGCTCACGGCCCCTCCGGCCATCCCGCGAGACACGAGCTGGCCCTGACTCGTGAGCACCGCGTTGCCAGGGGTCAGACCCAGCAGCTTCATGAAGGTCCCATCGCGCAAATCAAAAGCGGGGCCAGCAGCAGAGGCTGCAGCTTGCCACAGCCACGGAAACACCGATCGGAGAGCCCGGCCCACAGCCATGCCATGCCCCGTGAAGGGAAGGGTGGAGTCGGGAAGCTTTGAGCCTCCCAGACTGCATGTTCCGCGGCCCGGCCCCAAGATTTCAAACCAAGCATGCGTTAACGATGAACCTCAGAAGACCCCCCAACTTTCAAGCTCGATGCAGATGCTGGCCTGGCGTAGCAGCCACATGCCCCTCGTTTGAGATAACCTGGCACCGGGCTTGAGTACTCTGGTAGATGTGGACATCATGACACCGGAGTTCCGAGACAAGTGCAAGACATACCGACTACTTGGAGGTTCATGGGTAGTTATAAGTAGGGTTATAAGTAGGGTAACTAAAATTATAACCCAGGTTAGGGGACTTATAACTCCAATTATAACTACCCATGCACCTCCAAGTAGGAGGTTGACAGGCCACGGTGAAGCCGAGTCTGCGGCGCGTCTTGGGTTTAGGGTTTAGGGTTTAGGGTTTAGGGTTTAGGGTTTAGGGTTTAGGGTTTAGGGTTTAGGGTTTATGAGGCTGCGCCTTGGCGCACCAGCCTTCGGGCTGCAGCGTTACAAGCTTGGGGTTGCTGGTGCTTACCGGTTGCATTTGGGAGTTTCCGAAAATAGGGGGTACCTTTTTTGGGGGTCTTTATAATAAAGATCCTACTACTTAGGGTACTATATTAGGGTCCCCTATTTTCGGAAACCCCCATTTCAATTTTAAGCTTAAGAAGCTCATCGGGCAGCAAGGGGAGGCTTGAGAGGGAAGGCCACAGGTTGTGTTCGCCGTCATGCTAGGGCTAGCGGCCAGCAGGGTTTCTGATTGCCGGGTTTTGCTCGATGGGATGGCGCGTGTTCCATGGAGTGGGACTTCCCTGAATCGTCTGCTTGCAGGCATGTCTGGCCGGAGCTGGAAAGCCACGGGAGGCTTGGGTTTGTGCGTTACCCTGTAGGTCTTTACTTTGGGCTGTGTGCAAGTGCCGGTCTTACGTCTGCTCGGGACAAAAACAGGATGCACCTACAAGTCTTTGCGACCGCCATTCACAACTGAAACCATCGTTCCTGCTCGAACCCGCCTCTCAAGAGCTTGTTGACCTTCTCAGCAGGACCTCGAAGCGTCGTAGCTGGAAGATCACTTCAGCACCGTCAAGTCGCAGCCACAGGCTATGCGATAAAGCTGCCAGTCCATGTCACCTCGCGCCCCGGGGTGAGCTCAAGGACGGGCGACTAGCCAGATCCACGTTGCGGCGTGGCAGCAGCTGGAGGCGCTCGAGCTGCTGCCAGGCCGCAATGGGGATCTGGCTGCAGTCGCCCATGCTTAGATCCTGGCCACGCAGTCCGGGGGAGGGGATCGCACCTGCTCAGCGACCAAGTCTCCCGTCGCAACAGCCGAACTGAGCGGCAAAGTGGCTCAGGTCTTGAATGTTGTTTGGGTTGTTGCTGCTGGTTCGCAAGCTTACGATGCAGAATTTGTCGTGAGCCTCCATGTGGTGCCAAACGTCTCGTCCAGTGCCTGGGGAGATTGTTGGCGGTAGGCCAAGCTGAAACACAGGAAAACAGTCATACAACAGTGCAGGGATTGCGCATGAAACCAAATCTTACTGCTCTGCGTGCGCTATTAGCCTTAGCTACTCCAAACCTTCCACACCTTGCCCTTTGAAGGACCGGCGTTCGTCCCACATGTCCGCTTGCAGTAGCAGAAACGACCGGCCCCAACACACCCAACGCCCTGAACCCCAAACTCTCAATCCCAATCCCTGCACCCTAAACCCGTTATCTTTTGAAGTCAAAGAGGCGCTAAGTCGCGGCCATCTCCTTCACCCAAGCAACAGAAAAACAATCAAAACAAGCCCGGAAGCTGCACAGGGCAAATGCCAGCTCGACATCAACCTTGGCCGTGGTCCACGTTCCTGAGACGGGGTACGGCTACTTGCCAGCTGAGTGTGGGTGCCATCTTCACTGCTCGTGGTCTTGCACACAGTCCTGTCAGTGAACTTCCTCTTACAGGTCGCATCATTTGGAAGCTCCGCCAGCGACATGCCACTTTGCAAAAATGCCGGCTTCGTGCTTTGCGCCGCCGAGCTGTGCGATTGCAGCATGCATGCTGCACCCTCAACCGGGCAAACTGGAGAATGCCGTGCCAATACTGATGCATGCATGCCTCACCAAGGCATGCCCGATGCCCTGAACCAAGCAAACAACACTCCAACAGCACAAGCTGACGACGTGCTGTCGAGGACTGAAATTCTCGCCGCACTGCGGCAGGATTATGCGTGGAGCGTGCTGAGTTTCGACCTGCAACCGTCCGAAGAAAGAACGAAACAGGGATCAACTGACCAAAAGGAAGAAAGCCGCACAAGGCCGATGCGTGGACAGCTAGAAAGGCAAACCGATGGAAGCAAGAAGCTAACAGTACTACAAGTTAAAGACAGGAGAGAAAACAGAGCATACCACGAAGATCATTCAGAAAGCACACTCTGGGCCAGGGCCCTGCAGGTACCCTCTCGGCTTTGTTGGCCTACTCCAACGACTCTCTGTGGTTGGGAACTGTGATTCCAAACATTCTATTCTATAGGTTCTGGGCACTGAAGGAACGCAGTTGGGAACTCCAGAAGGATGGCTGACCGGAAGAAGGCAACATGTTCCGGGGGGCATAAGTTAGCGCGACGTCATCTTCGAAGATAGCGACCATGCGACTGAGACAAATCCCTTCACCCACCGTAAACCCTACCTCTGGAGACCGAGCATCCTTCTCCTCTGCCCAGCAGCGGAAGCCAGGAAGACTCCAAGCCAACTATGGATCCAAAGCCATGTTGAGGAAATGCTTGGGGGCCAATGTGAAAGAGACTCGGTGATTGACTGAGCTGAGTGAGCAGCATGGTCCGCCATGTTCTGTCAAGAGACATGCCTGTCAGAATGTCTTTGCTCCTTTGTCGAAGTCAGGATGCTAGTTGAGCCAGTCTTTCTCCGAAGACCTTGGAATCCTGAAGTTGACGCAGTAAGTCTTAGACGAAGATACCCTGGTTGCCGAACGAAGACGGTTGGTTCCAAGCCAGAAAACTCTGCTCTATGTTGAGCAGCTGTTTGGAAGCCTCTTTGTCTTTCGAGCGCCTCCGACACGTTGCAGCGCAAAAAGGTCCGCGGAAAAGAAAAGTAGGCGAGATATAAAAAAAAATCAAAACAAAACCAAAGCGCTGTCACTCAGCAACATGTGGGAGCCGCACAAACGTCTTCTTTTGAAGGTACTGCCTTCCTCGCCTTGAGCTTTCTCCTGCTGCGCCGAGGTGCAGATGGCAATCTGGTGTGCTTCTGGCTGAATGGCCGACTTAGAACACGATAGACTGAATCACTCTCCATACACCTGCAAACCCTCCAAATTCATCGACATATAGAATCGCTGTGGGATGAACGCAACTGGACCAGCTGGAGAAGTCGACCTTTCTCTGCTACACAACGCGCCACAAGAGTGCAAGGCGCTGGATCACGGCGATGGGAGCCAATCAAGTTGCTGCTGGAACTCCAGAACGGTGAGCCGACGAAACGCGTTCCTGGTGTCTGTAGGGCAGAGACCTAGAAACCGGGTTGACCTTGCGTGAAAAAGCTGGAAACTCTGGAAAAACAAGTTCCTCTTGCCGGGCTCAAACCCAAATTTTTTTTTGCGAAACGGCAAGGTGGCCGACCAGGCAAACCGACATGTTCTAGTCGCGTGGGGTTCATTCGCACGCTGTTCATCACTCACGAAGAATTTTCTTCGAACTTTAGACCGGCCACGATGCAAAACTGACTGGCAGGACCTTAAACGGTTTTTGGTGTTTTCGCTTGCAAGGAAGTTCCCAAAGCACGTCTGACACTTTCACTTTGCGATTCAATGCTTCTGGAACTTGTTACAATCTTCTTCGTTGCAAAATGGTTCGCAAGAACAGGCCGCTCTTCAAAGCCTGCACGCAATGGCCTTTTCCAGGCCGCTGAGCATAGCGACAAAAGACATGAGATTTTCCAGACAAGGTTGGCTTCGCAAGAGATTGCAGCGAGTCCAAAATACAAGCTGGAATTTTTCACAGTAGCGGAAACCTGTGGCAAAAGTGGAGCAAGGTCGGAGGAAAGGGGGCCATTTTCGAACCCTCCAAGGGGGAGAACAGCAACATTGACAACCTGGATTCAACCAAGGTTGATCCCAGGTTCAAATCCAGGTTCAATCCAGGCTCAAAGATTCAAACCTAGGTTCAATCTGGCGCAATCCAGGTTTGGGAGCTTCAAAGAAAATAACAATCCAAACCTGACGTTGTAAAAGGAAAAAGCAAAGCACACGAAAACGCTTCGGGGGCTGAAAAGCGAAGACAACAAGAGAAAAATCCAGCTCAATCCTGCAACCAAGTGCAAGGTGAACTGCGAGGATCAAACGGCGATCGAATTGTTCCCACCTGCGTTCAAACCACAACAAGTGGGAAGATTGGTCTTGAAAGCCCGTCACTGCGACCGGAAATGTGGTTTGACTGTTGTGACCTTGGGCAAGCACCCCGCTACATCGTCTAGAGTTGCATTGACACGTTGGTGACGAGCACAAACCCGCCACACAGCAGGCGAGAACTGGAAGGAGAGTTGAATTTCAAACCTTAGCGTGCGTCCGTGTCTTGCCAAAATAAACCTTTTGTTTGCATGTTTTGCAAGTATGACGAAACCTTAGACTTCTCAGTTTTGGACCGAGGTTTGTGTCCTTTCAGCTCAACCTTGACGCATTCCGAGCGCAGAAAATGTTTTCGAGGTTTTGGCGGGCGCAACATCTGGGCTGAGCATGTACTCGGGTTTTTTACCACCTTGAAAGCCACGCTTTTAACAAGGACATTTGGTGGCACGGCTCCGACAAAGCATTTCTCCATGCCATCTCCAACACCAGAAACAAACCAAAAAATCCAAACCCAGACGATCTCTCCACGTACTTTTCGTTCCAACCAACTCTTTGTTCCTTTCACCAACATTATCAAGCCGCACATTGCTATTCCTGTCCTGCCGAACCACCTAATCTGATGTATCTC